ATGTCGATCATTAAAAAATCTGGAGACAACAGATGCTGGAGAGGATGTGGAGAAATAGGAACACTTTTACACTGTTGGTGGGAGTGTAAATTAGTTCAACCATTGTGGAAGAGAGTGTGGTGATTCCTCAAGGACCTAGAAATAGAAATTCCATTTGACCCAGCAATCCCGTTACTGGGTATATATCCAAAGGATTATAAATCGTTCTACTATAAGGACACGTGCACACGAATATTCACTGCAGCACAGTTTACAATAGCAAAGACCTGGAACCAACCCAAATGCCCATCGATGATAGACTGGACAGCAAAAATGTGGCACATATACAGCATGGAATATTATGCAGCCATCAACAACGATGAGTTCATGTCCTTTGTAGGGACATGGATGAAACTGGAAACCATCATTCTCAGCAAACTGACACAAGAACAGAAAATCAAACACTGCAAGTTCTCACACATAGGCAGGTGTTGAATGAGAACACATGGACACAGGGAGGGGAGCACCACACACTGGGGTCTGTTCGGGGGAAACAGGGGAGGGACAGTGGGGGGTGGGTAGTTGGGGAGAGATAGCATGGGGAGAAATGCCAGATACAGGTGAAGGGGAGGAAGGCAGCAAATCACACTGCCACATGTGTACCTATGCAACAATCTTGCATGTTCTTCACATGTGCCCCAAAACCTAAAATGCAATTTAAAAAAAAAAAGTACCTGGCACACACAGGCACTTGATAAAGGGCACACACACAAAAGCCGGTATTATTACTACTTTTGTGTTGTCAAATGTCCCAGTGTTCTGCTCTCAACCCTGTGTGTACTCCCCAGCAGAGACAGAAAGCAGTGAAAACAATAACACATTTCCAAAAGGATTCTGATTCAGGAGATGGTAGGACATTAGCAATAAGGGTGGAGACTTGGAGAGAACGGAGGCCCAGAGAGGGGCAGGGCACTTATTCAAGGTCACACAGCAAGCAAGGAGCTGAAATCACCAGAGGCAGGGCCTTGACTCCCAGGGTCCACCTTCCTTTTAGAGAAGAAGAAGTGGGGGAAGTGATGATGCTGAGCAGTGGGGAGGAGCTGCCACTAGCCAGCTCCCAGGGAGCTCCCCAACGTGGCTGCGCTACCTTGTTGCCGAGAATGGGGACATAGCCGTCAGTGATGCTCCACTTCTTGAGGTTGACAGGCCGGCGGCTACGGCCCCGCAGGGAGCCGTAATGGAAGACCTCATTGGCACTGTTGGAGCTGTAGAGGATGAGGATGGTGATGAGGGCAAACAGGATCACGAACACTGCTGACCGCTGTTCCTGGAGAGGGGAGAGGCCAGTGAGGGCCCAGCTGCCAGGAAGGCTCAGCACCCCAGCTCCTTGCCACCTACCATGCCTGGCTAACTCCTGCTTTTTGTTACAGACCAGTCCAGGCACTACTTCCTCCAGGAAGGCCTCCTTCAGCTGCCTCGGTACCCCCATCACAACACTGATCACACAGCATTCAAACTGCCATCCCTCCAATTACACCGTAAGCTCTGGGACTAGGTCAGCCTTGCTCCCCACTTTATCCCAGATCCCAGGGCAGAGCCTGGAACACAGAAGGTTCTCAGGGAGGGTTTGCTGGACTGGATTGAATGTGTCAGGGTTCCCTACAGCTGCTGCTAAGACGATGTCTAGAGACAGATGGGACATCTGAGTGAGAGGGTCCAGGTCTTCCACCAGCAGTAACTCTCCGATATATTGCCTCTAGCTCCAAGTTTATCTTTTTTGTCTGCTCTGCGGAAGTGGATCTGAGCCCTTTAAATATTTTCCCTTGTCAGTTAGCTGCATGTTAAGCTTTGTGACTAGAAGGTGCTGGACAGACACTGCAGGAGGAAAAGCATTTGCTTCTTGGATCTGGTGGGTTTGCTAGGGAGGCTCCTTCAGTGGACACAGCCTATCCAGTAAGGGTATCTTAGCCACTGACCAGAGGCCAGGAGTGCCAGCAACTCAGGCACATTGCCTCTGGCTCATGCTGTGATCACAGCTTTTCTGAAGTCCAGCTCCCACAGCGCACTCAACCACGTGCAGCACCTGGAGGCTGGTGGCTTCCCTCCCTCGGCCAGTTTCGTACTAGAGCCATCCAGTGGACCATAGCTGGGCCTTCTTCAGCAAGGCCTGGAACTCAGCCTTTGTGGGGGCAAGGGTTCTCCTTAGATTAACATCTGCTATTCCTGCATGCCTCAGAATTCCAATCCCTTGTTACTCCAGTGTCCTATTACAGTCAATAATTTTTTGCATTAAACTTTTCCTGTGTAATCACTGTGTAGTTTCTTTCTCCTGGTTAGACTCAAATTAATATGACCACTCCATCCCATTTCCAAACCTCAGGCTCCACCAAGGCTGCAGTGGATCCTAGGGAAGAGGCATGCTGGGCCAGTCATGTAGTAGGTGCTCAGGAATGCATGAATGAATGAAAGAAGGATGGGGAATCCTGACATTCTCAGGGTCATGTTCAGGCTGCATCACCTTTGACTCTGACCAGTGCACCCTCCCCCCATTTCCTGCTCACCTCCACCTGCCCACCCCTCTTTCTTGCACAGCACTCCACAGGCCCCTCAGCTAGTCCCTGACCACCACAGACAGACCAGTCAGGCCTGGAAGGGCAGAACTGACCCTGGGCCGAGGCACAGGCAGGAGCTTGCCCTAAGCCACTCAGATCAGTGGCCAAACCAGGGCTTAAACCTGGGCCTCCCAAGCATTGGTGGCTTCTTGAGGGGAGGGAAAGACTGGTGGTGGCCAGGATCTGAGATAGGTCCAAAGGAACCAGTTCCATAGAGGGAAGTAAGAGGCTCATTGGGGATAAGAAATGAAGGAGACTTACTTTGTTGCTACTCATTTCTCTCCTGCGTCTGCTGAGGGGTAGGTGTCGGCGTCCTGCAGGTGGCCCTGGGGGCAGGGATGTGGGTTCACACCTGCAAGCCACCAGAAAGGGTTATTATGGCCTGGGGGTCCTCCTTTGGGTCCAGCAAGCCAAAGGCTACACCTTCTCTGCCCCCAACTAGCTCTTCTATGCACCCACAACTTTAAGGACGAGGACTGTACCCATTTTGCAGATGGAGACACTGAGGGCCAGAAAGGGCAGGAATCTGACTGTAGTCCCACAGCCTGGTGGCAGCAGAGCTCTGCCCATTCTCCTCCATGAGCAGGGGCCTTCCCACACCCAGGCAGCTGACAGGGCCAAAGCTGGCTCCCTACTGGAGGACCTGACCTCCATGCAGCAGGAGCCCCATTCACACCCTGCTCTAAACCCTGCCTTGGGTCTCTGTGGCGTCAGAATAAAGCAACACCCCTGTAGCCCGCAAACTCCTTCGCTCTGACTCCCTCTCAGGTTGGCTTGGAACGCCTTCCCTTCTGCGGCCTCCTGACTCCCACTTATCCTCCAAGCCTCTCATGGACCAGGAACTCCCTTAGGTCCTTTCATCCCCCCAGGCGAAGAGCTGCCTGCAAGGTACAGCCCACCCAGGTCCTCGCTCAGTTTCCCCTGTGCCTCCACAGCCATGGAGATGCAGGAATATCGCTGAATGAACGAGTGCATTAACAAGTAGAATCTCTCTAAGGGCACAGACTCAAGTCTCAGAGGCTCGTTTCCAGTCCAGGCCCTGCAGTCTCTGGTAGGGCTGACTCCACATCTGTCAAGTGGCTGTAATCACAGTCTCGGAGGTGGCTGGGGGGGACTCTGGAGACCTGGCAGTGAGGAGGCCAGCCCAGCTCTGCTCCGCACACCCCACCGCTCCCTCTCCCACCACCCAGGACTCAGCTCCTTTCCAGACTTCCACTTCCCCACCTGTGAGAGGGAAAAAGTACTGTGTCCAGCCCACCTCCAGCAGACAGGCAGGGGGCAGGGCGGGCGGGAGTGCAGAGGAAGGAAACTGGGGTTTAGGGGCCCTCCTCAGCTCCGTCCCCTCCTCCAGGGCCCTCCCAGTTCCCGCCACTCTCTCCAACCCCTGACCTAGCTGCTGTTTACTCCTACAGGACCACCAGGAATAGCCAGAGAATCTCTGGCCAGAGGAGGCTTGGCACACGCACCTAGCTCCTGGTTGGTTAGGTCCTGGCCCCGCCCCCTCTCCAGCCCCACCCCCTCCCCGTGGAGCCCCGGTCAACCTGAGCCCGGCTTCAAGTTTCTCCAGGGCCAGCCCCCCACAGCCAGTCAGGGAGGCCTGGACTAGAAGGCCTCGCAGTACACAGCAGAAGGAGCCTCATAAGAAGCGAGGAGCGGCTTGTTCTTGCCCTCACGGACCGTTAGAGCAAAAACAGGAGTCCAGAATCCTGAGGTGGCCCCATGAACCCTGAGACCTCGACATTCAAGGCAACCACGGTTCCAGCCGCCTCTAGCTTACAACGCGTGGCCACCCTTTCCTGAGGATGCCCCATGCCCGCCCCCCACTTTCCCACCTTTGCCCGAGCTGTGCCCTCAGCCAGGACCACCGTCCCCCTGGTCCGCCCCGTCACAATCCTGCTCTGAAAAGGCCATGTCAGTGCAGCATGTCAGGTGCCACTGCGAATCCCGGTTTCACCACTTACTGGCTGGGGGGCCTCGAGCAAGCCATGTGACCTCTCTGAGCCTCAGTTTCCTCATCTGTGAAATGGGAACAATAAGAGTCGGTAACTCAGGGGGTTGTTGGAAGGATTCAAGCAGATGTGGCAAGGGGCACGCGGGGCTTGAAAGTAATCCCACATTGGTCAGGCGCAGCGGCTCACGCCTGTAATCCCAGCACTTTGGGAGGCAGAGGCGGGCGGATCACGAGGTCAAGAGATCGAGACCATCCTGGCCAACATGGTGAAACCCCGTCTCTCTAAAAATACAAAACTTAGCTGGGCGTGGTGATGCGCGCCTGTAGTCCCAGCTACTCAGGAGGCTGAGGCAGGAGAATCAATCGCTTGAACCCGGAAGGCGGAGGTTGCAGTGAGCTGAGATCGTGCCATTGCACTGCAGCCTGGCGACAGAACGAGACTCCACATCAAAAAAAAAAGAGTGCTCCCACAATGCCAGCAGCTGTTAGTCTTGTGGTTACTCACTGTTCAAGGCCCGCCTCTCCAGTGTGTCAGTAAAACACTCCTACTCCCCTGACCCCAGACCAGCGACTTTCCCGGAATATCAAGGAATACGTGTGGGAACACGCTCTAAACATCACCCACACACTGAATCCCGGCAATGCATGGTAGGCGTTCTTGTTGCCCATTTCACAGATAAGGAGACTGAGGTTCAGAGAGGCAAAGCGCCTTGCGGGGCCGCCCAGAGCCTGCTTGGCAGCCTTGTTTACAAGCTCCTTACAGGGAGCAGCCCAGGGCTGAGCCTGACTTCATCTCCCTGGAGGATCCCCCTCGGCTGGAACGGGTGTGCGCCCAGGACGTGGCCCGACACCGGCACCGGGGCGGGGGTCTGGGGGTGCTGGCCTGTGAGCAGCTTGCTCAGGCTGGGGAGGTGGCAGACACGCATGCTGGCCCCGGAGCACAGACTCAGCCCCCAAGGCTGGACGCGCAGGCGAGCTGAGCTGGAGCCGAGGGTGGGGGCCACACCCTGCCCTCTGTTTGGGGGCTTTCCTTCTTCCAGCCCCGGGAGTCCTCCCGCAGGTCGGGAGGCACCCACGAGCCCGCGTGGGAGGAGGGCTCCAGGGAGAAGGGGGAGGGGGACTCCTAATTCCGAGACAAGGCGGGACGCCAAGCCCTTGGGTCCACCTGGTGGGGGGCTCGCCCTGCGCGCCCCTGGTGCCAACCCCCTCCCCAGCTCCTGCACTCCGGGAGTCCGGAGCCCTAACCCCAGCTGGGAAGAAAAGAGGCAGGACCGCTCACGGGGTAGTCGGCGGCAGGAGGCCCAGCGGACCCCGCGACAGTCCCTGGGAGCGAGGACCAGGACCTCGGGGCGCGGCTACCGAGGGAAGAGGGGTCTAGCCCCCGGGGGCCCCGCATTCATCCCCATCCCCGGCGATTCGCAATCTCCCCTCCCCGGCGTCCACCGCCCCCGCCCCCGCCCCCGCGCGGCGCCCGCTTACCTCCGGCGGGGAGCGCCCGGCCCCCCGCGGCCCCCGAGCCCCCTCACATGGTGCCGGGAGCCGAGCGCCGGGGTCCGCGCTCCTCAG